CAAACGATAAGGGCTGGTAGCTTGTCGCTCCTATTGTAAGGACAAAACATGCTGTTGTTCGGGCCAATCTAGGGTTATGTAGGACCCCCTCTTATATGGCCCGGACAATAGTAGGTTTTATTCTTACAATAGGATCTGCATCAAAACGGGGTACCAGTCAAATTTGTAACCCCCATATATATATGTTTCTAAAACAAATCTGCAAAGCGTTAAAAATTCTTGCAATTTTCCACCATGAAACAATATCATTTTCTAATTTTCGTGATTATTTTTTTTTATATAAGAAGAGAATGAAAGAAGCACGTTTATTGTTGATGATTGTAAGATAAAGAGTGTTCTTCTTAATGATATGTTGGAAGTTAAATTTATTCTTTGGTTTTATATATAAATATTGTTTGAATTATTTATTATTGCTCATTACATGGATAATTTTGAAAGAGTACAAAATACTTTTTACATGAATTTTTCTGCTACATTTGTTGAAAAATTAATGTAAAAAATAATTGAATTTATGTATGATTTCTAGAGATAATTAGTGGTTGATATTCTTGCATCGTTCGGTGTATTTGGGTTTTTTGTTTTTTTTGTTTTGTTAATTTTTAATTTATGTAACTCAAAATAATTAAGAACTACAGATTTAGCATTTTGCAAAACTCGTTTATGAAGTATTTTGATTTTAGGCTTTTACCGTTTCGATGATTTGTTATGGAAAATATGTGTAATGCAAACTTTTATTTCACACCTTGTTATTTCTAACAGAATAAAATTTTGTTGGTTTCGAGGTCGGCAGTATGATCTATCAGTGTTTGGCACTTGCTTAAAGACTTTTGAGTTGCATGTTAAATCTGATATTATTTTTATTCTAATTTTTTTTTGAGTCGATAGAATCTCCAGTTAGTTTAGCAGGTAATTTATATATCCGATAGTAGCATACTCAACAGTCATTGTTCTTTCATATTTAAGAATATTTATAATTAGCATGTACTTATTTTTGAAAAAATTCGATCTCTTTTCATATTAGTTTTCACTAAAAACTAAGAGTATGTAGAAGATATTTGCATTTTGAGATAATATTATAAACTACAATTATAGTAATTAGATAAATAGTCTAACCATTCGAAAGCAATAAAGCAATACTGCTTGTTGAATATCTAATAGTAGCATATTACTGAAAAATTAAACATTTATATTTTCAGTAGTCGTATTTTATTTCTCACACACAAAGAAAAAAAGAACGTGCTCGACAAAAAAGAAAAAACACATCCGTGATAGACGAAAAAAAAAAACCATTAGCCATTTAAAGGATCGTTTTAATTTTGCGAATACAAAGTGATATCATTGTTATTATTAAAAATTTTGATGATGATGATGGCTTCAATGGAATTATTATTACGAATATATTCTTTTGTTTTTCAATCGGCACTTGTTCATTAAATATAAAATAGATGTGTTTGTGTGTGTCTCTGTGTGATGAAAAAAAAAGATGAAGAAAAAAGAAGAAAAAAATCATGGTGTTTTTAAAAGAATGAAATTTGTGCGATTTTCAAGAAAAATGTTTTCATAAAGTTTGAAAGAAGAAAAATAATCATAAAAACGAGTAACAGCGACGATGCTTTGACGATTCAAAATAAAACATAAAACTCGAAGAAGAAGAAAATTTTTGTTTATAATGATCGGCGCAATTTGTGATAACCAGCAAAGCATACAGCAGCTAGCAAGATGATCATATTCACGTAATGAACAGATGCACCATTACCAATATCTTTCAATGCTCGATAAAGCTGTCCTAAAAATATCAAGGATAAAAGCAACGTAAAATTTGTTTCATATGACTCTTTAAATCTTACCGAGATAAGCAGTCACTGCAATGAATGTTGCGAATAAACCAAGTAAACCCATTGCTGCTAAGCAGAGTAAACACAAAAGTAGACCAGCTAAACCTCCCAATAAGCCCATAAGACCACCACGTCGTGGTGGAGGTGGTCTATAAATAATTAAATATTTATATTAATTCTTAATTCATATTTATCATAATAACACTTACCGTGGATATGAACCGGGTCGTACAGCATATCGAACTCCCGAATGTCGGACAGGTCTTCGAACATACGGCATTTTAAGAGCTCACTAAAAAGAAAAAAATTTAAAATTGTATCGATATTAAATGGGAAATAGTTAAAAGCTTGCTCAAGGACATCTCACAATGATCCCTATGTCTACCTCAATTAGATAGGACTGTTGTTGTTGTTGTTGTTGTCTTTGTGACTATCACTGCTTGCCTGACGATGGAAGAGCTCTCTTACTTACTAGAAAAAACTGGGAAGAGAAAAAAAAAAAGAAAGAAAGAGGGATGAATAGGCGACTTTTCTGATCACCACAAACATGCATACGTAATGATGATTGCAACAACAAGGGAGAGAGAGAGAAAGAGAGGGTTGGAGTCCAATAAAAAAATATAGTCGGCCAGCCAACATAAAAAAAAAAAGAAATCACAACATTCTTGGTATAACTACAAGTGATGAGATATACCCTTGAAGGTTGTAGCTAGAGAGAGAGAGAGAGAGAGAAAGGAGCAGAGAGCCAGAAAGGGGGACGAAAAATCGTTTCTTCTTTTTCTCTCTCTAGAATATCACCTATGTTTGTCATACCCGTCCGTGTATGGGTATTATGCGAAGCGAAAAAAAAATGAGAAGGAAAGATGCGCAACGAAATGTAAAAAGAAAGACAGGTGATCAATCAACCGAAACACTCATGACTGACTACATAGGAGTATGGTAATGACTTTCTTCGTCTTTATGAGTCGATGCCTATACGTGATGAGACCAAAACATGTTGTCGACACAATGTTCTGGCTCATATTCCTTTTTTTCTTGCTCACTACTAATTCCTTTCTCTCGTTAAATAGTCTATGCAGCTCATCACTAATTACAATGTTTTACTATCATCTGTCGAAACATAAGATATTCTCAGGAAATGGACCTTTTTTTTATTTCGTGTAGTAAATGTAAGTGGTAGGGAAAAAAAAGTAAAGGACGAGCATTTTCTCTCTCTCTCTCTCTCTCTCTCTCTTTTTCTGACGACAATTTGTGTCTATGGCTCAGGTGCATATCAGCGACGGCAACTGTGAAGTCATGCGTAGCACAGTCAAGTAGGAAGAGAGAAGTGAAGAAGCAATATAATATACGTTTAGCAAGAAAAAGGTGGGTAGCTTGATCATGGCGTCGACAAAAGTCGTACGTATCAAAGTCATGGTTATATGTAGTGTCTTTTTCTCCACTAATAGAAGCGTAAAGGAGAGATAGAAAGATAGAGAGAGTAAGGAGAAAAAAACAAAAACTAGGATCCCTGACAAGACAATGTGATGACGACGTTCGAAGTATTGAGTTATGAGGAGGGGGCGAGTGATCAGGAGAAAAGTATAATGATAGAGAGAGAGAGAGTGAAGAAAAATTCGTAGCTTGTTGTATAGTGGTATCTCACTTTTTAGCGTACTGCAAACAAGCCGTTAGGGTTTTAGGCAAGAGAAGACTGTCAATGTAGGTAGCTGAAAAAAGAAGAAAAAAGGAAGAGAGAACAAAAGAGAGAAACATATACTGATTGAAGAAAGCTATGATTGAACACGTGTGGACAGTTGTTGACCAGACAACCTTGGACACGTATCTTTTTTGTTTTAGATTATTATAGGCTGAGATGTATTCCGGTGTTCCACGACCATACAAAGTACGGTAAGGGTTTGTCTTTTATTCTTAAATACATATTTGCAACATTTTTTTCTAAATTTTATAAGACGTGCTATACCACCACGGCCATATGGTGTAAGACCAATGCGTCCTCTTCCTCCTCCAATGGTTTCTCCTGGAGTTGGAGGTGCTGCTCTTGGTGGTGCCCTTGGAGCACTTGGCGGAACTCTTGGATGCCTTCTCTGTTTATCCGCTATTGCTGCCTTGGGTCTATTTTCATGTGTAGTAGCTATTACAGCATATGCTAGTAAGTATTTAAGAATTTTGTTAATCAATCATTGATAATGAATCGAATTTGTTTAGAACAATTTCTTGACAGCTACAGACAAGTGGAAGGACTCAATAGTGCACTTGGACAAGCTCAAATGGGTTTCATGCTTTTATTAGCTTCACTTTTTTATATAATCGTCTGTCGTATGCAGCGATGTTAGACTCAAAAACAATTCATTAAAATTTTTTCTTCAAAATTTTTTCTTCTATTATTGAACAATATCAGCCTTTTTTTTCTCTTTTGGTTTATTTGAAACACATGTACCTGTTCAGAAAAAATGAAAACATTCTTTTTTGCATGACACAACAACGACGACGACGATGATTGACTGACGACGATAACCAACACACTACTTTTATTAAACACCACTATATTTTTTCTTCAATTTTTTTAATAAAAATCTATCTATTCTTGTGCGTGCATATCAATGTTTTTCTTTGTTTATCTGAATAAATTCGTTTACTTTCACATTGATTCATCTTCATGAATATCAAAAATTAGTCAATGTCATTCGAACGATTCTGTATTTTTCTTTTCATTATTCGACAGGTCTGTATGTATGTGACAAGCACAAAAAAAAAAGTTGTGTACACAATATAAAAAACCATTCAGGTGTGACTACCTATATACAACAAGCAGTTCGATAAGCATATATGTAGGTACGAAGGCTGCACTTTTTTTTTATACCGTGTTATTTGCATATACGAAAAAAAGAGACGAATGTGTTTACCTTCAATAAGTTTATTTAATAACTGACAGAAAAAAAAAATATGTGAAAAAAATCGAAAAGAGGAAAAATTTGTTATTGTTAAATGTGCATCCATTCTTTTGCGTTGAATAGAAACGAAATATCAGTTTTATATTATTGTTGTTCATGGTCATTACGTATCATATATAAAAAAAATTTTTTTAATAATCGAAGTGAATTTCACATGCATTACTAATTAATTAAATCAAATATATTTCTATATGTTCATTTATAAGAGAAAATGATTGAATTAAATGACAAGAAATTGTTTCATTTAGATAACATATCTCGTTGACTATTGTATAAATATAATGTGAATAAATAGTTTTCTACTGAGCATTAATTATGTATAGAACTATGAGAAAAGAAGATAGATGAATTGAAAATAAATTGTGTAATCAAAATATCGATTCTAAATTTAACTTGTTATTTTCTTTATGGCATATATGCTCAAAATGAATTACTTACGAAGTAGTGTTCTCAATCGATCAATCGCATTTATTTCAGAGTAATAAGTTTTTTTTTTTTTCTAGAATTTCAGCCTCTGGCTTGGTATATATCAAGAAATCAAATTGTTTTATTTCGTTCTGAGATTTTATCTACAAGCAGGTCTATTTGTCAGTAGAATGTTCGAAAAATCTCACCTCAAAACGGTATTTTCTTTGCCGATATTTTAAAGTCTGAAAAAACCAAAAAATTCTAGCGTCTTTCATATAATATAAGTGTTGTTCAGAACTTTAATATCTAAGGAAGAAAATATTCTTTTGGGCTGAGATTTTCAGGACAATTTACTGGCATATAGACTTGTCCGTGGGCAAAATCTCAGACGAAAATATTGTCATTCAATATGTTGGTATATATCAAGCCAGAGGCTAATATTCTAGTTAATTGACTATTATTCTGCACAGAAAGCCTGAAGAAATTTATCATTTTTGAAGTTTTTCATTTCTCACTGGAGTCTACCTTATGCAAAGAGTCTCAATTTAAAGCGACTGATCAGTTGAAAACGTTTTCTCGTCAGTAGATAGAATTAGCTGAATGATATAGTGTATTTCTTATTAATCAAAAAGAAAACTTACTATATATTATTTAGATTATCTTTGAAATATTTTGTATTAGTGAAAATCTATGTGTTATTTAAGTATTCTAAATTATATTATAATTGCTTTGATATGATTATTTGCTGAGTTTTCAATTATTTCGAATAGAATTAAGATGAAAACAATAAAATGATAAGAAGTAGTGAAGATTTCAATGAAACTAACGTATGACGTAAATTAAAAAAATCATTCATCAATTTTGAAACTTCATATTAGTAAGAAAATATTTAAATGGATATGACTATTGCACGACTATAGTCATAGTTGTAGTCGATAGAGTTCTTTTTCTTATCAGCACCAATCTAAACGGTCAAATCAAACAGCAGATGATGTATGATTCGTTCTTCAATTATTTTTCACTCTGTAACAGTAGCATAACTTTTTCGATTCATCATATGTGTCTCCTGCATAACTGCTACAGTAATGGTATGAAATTTCTATTCCACTATTAATTTTCATAAAATTTCCTTCTTTGTTCATCAATAGATGAACAGAAAATTTTGTCGGGCAACAGAATTATATATACGAAACGATAGAACTGCGTACGGGTCAACTTCAATTTTCCACTATGCATGACTTGTTGTATGCATAATTTCATGAACAATCTAAATTGAGATATATTTTTGCTTGAAATATTGGCATTCATTTCTGTACTCTTTACTTCTACTCACGATCTCGAGCAAACAAAAAATCAACAAGATAGGCTTTCTAGTAGTTGTGAACGTGCGAAAAAAAAGATTAGAAGAGTATTTGTCGTGGTGAAATTTATTAAGAAAAAGAATTTGAATTTCGGATTTGAATGTTTATATAATAAAATGTTGAAAGTCTTTAAAATAGAATAAGATGAAATGAGAACAAATGTTCAAAATTTATTACTATAATTATTAGATTAATACCTATGTATCATCTGTTCTGCGATATATCGCTTTTGATTATTGGTAATAAGCATTCTTTCATTGTTCTATTTACTTCATTTACTTAACAATGTCGTATTATAATGGCTATAATTCTAATTGTCTATAACATATAGCACTGTAGATAGGTTTACAATTCGTAAAACAAATAATGTCTTGTCTTTCGTTTCTATAAACCTTGACATAGGTAGTTATGAATCTACAAAAACATTTACTATAAATAATATAACTATGTTTTTTAATTATTTTGATGCTTATACTTTTCATTTATTCTTTGGGTACTAATATATGTTGTATTTGTCGTCATCAAATAGAGACGTCGAAAGAAACCAAACATTGCACAATAAAGACAAGAACAATTTATTGTTCTCTTATGAAAAAGATAATTGTCTAATATACGTATGAACTTCAATAGATTTACTTTTATCTATAATAAAACTTTTTTTGTAATTTGTATATCTAAAAAGAATAGTTTGATATGTAATATGTTTACATATTATTATTTTGTTTTGTTACGGAAATTTGTAAAAATGATGATGTGATGTTTTTATTGGACCATTATATATATATGTGATAGTCATTTTTAATAGATAGAGTTATTGAATTATATATGTCGTAGGACAGATTGAAATTCAGTTCAGATTAAAATATCTTTGATCTGAACTAGTTCAGTTTAAAATCTTCCTAGTTGAGATCAAAATTATTTTAAAGTGAACTAGGAAGATTTTAAACTGAACTAGTTCAGATCAAAATATTTTAATCTGAACTGAATTTCAATCTGTCCTACGACATATACATCGCAAAGAAAGGATACGATTCAGATTATTAAAGAAAAGATTCGTTTTTTCTTTAACATTATGATGATATCAGTGTTGAATTAATCTTGGTTTTACAATGAACGGAGAAACGACGATTCAAATGAATTTTATTTTTGTGAGATGTTTATATTTAATTAAGTCTCTAGATTGAAACATACATAATAAAACTAAGATGTACACGACGAAATTTCTTGATATTCACTGGAGAAAATCATTAATTTAAGTAAAACACATAATTCTATGCTCAATGTTAAACTGTTATTTTTTATGAATAAATATGATAGAAATTCGATTATTTATCATTAAAATGATAAGCTTTTTTTATACTCTATATTTTGACTGAGACAGATTTTCTTAACTTCACTCTACCGTATCCTGCAACATGCAGTTCATAGCACGCAAATGAATTACCAAATAAACAAAAATTTCAATATGTTATAGAAGAGACTTATTTGAAGAATCTGTTTAGGTCTACCACTGTTAAAGAGTGTGTGAGTATATCCATACCCATATTCACTCACTCGTCAACAGTGGTGGATCCTACTAAAACTACTGTTACAAATCCATAAAATCTAAAATGTTTTGCAATTCATTATCTTTTAATTACTTTGTAATTCTTTGGCGGGTATCTACTTTCATTCAACAAACTGAATATTGTTATTCGTATTTTTTCTTTAATCTCATGTGTTTGTATATGTCAATTAAATTACTAGAATACATTCTTTTGAATAGAATTTGCTTGTCTTCGTATAAATCTTNCAGTAACGATATACGATTGACTGTTCCAAAGCATATGACTTTTATTGGGAAAATGGATCAATAATAAATATTAATCAAAAGTGATCATGAAAGAGCTAAAGTGAACGAAGAATAATTAGCTTGTCACACTTAAAGAATTTCAACATAATGTATGCCAATAAAAGTCATATGCTTTGGAACAGTCAATCGTATATCGTTACTGTACATATCTTTCAGAACTTTTTAATTTATTTTGTTTTAGTTCAATTGATTATTAGAAAAAAATGAATTAATTAAGAGAAATGGATAGAGCAGAACGAAAGAAGCCATTGTGCGACGAACAGAACGCGACGAAATGTCGTGCGACGAAGTAATCGGTCACCTCACGTTATGTATTAAACATCTTACTCCGAAAAAAGTACATGCTATTGAAATAAAGCATTTAAATGATAAAATTTTCATTCAAATTTATTTTATTTTGAACGAGAACAAATCTCGAGCTAGTATAGTTCAGTGGTGTATGTAAATGACTTCTGATCATTGATTCATCTGTTCAAATCTGATCGTCATCGCTTTAGCTAAAATTCAATCCATTTGCCAGGTTAGACTAAGATCATCGATAAATGTTGACGGTGATGACTCAGTGCGAATCTGAGATGGATTGTGATATATTTTTCAAAATTTGTATATTTTTTATGAAACGTGTTGAGATGCTTCGAATGTTTCACTGGGAATGCTTTTTCTTTAAAAACGCGTTTGAACGCAAGTCAAACTACGAACGCATTCAAGCGCGTTTCTAAAATAAATCGCGTATAAACCCTTCGTTTGTTTCACTGTTGACG